TAAAGAAAGCAGTAAAGTAAAAAGTGCTAATTATAGTGTATTATATCCCATAAGCAAATACATTAGTATGAAAAAAATGTGAAAGTAAATAACGCGTACGAAATGGAAAAGACGTCTAAAAACCCTAAGACAATTCTAGGTGAATAAAGAAATATTTTTGTTTGTTTTAATTTAATAAAATAGTTAAGTTAAAATTAGACTAATTAATTAATTGAAAGAAAAGAAACATTATTAATTAAAAATTAATTCTAAACTAAACCTAATATTTTTTTGCATTTTTATTAATAAAAGAAATTAAAATCTAAGTCTACTTATTTTTAATTTTAATAAGGTGTTAAGGCAATTAATTAATTAATTAATATAATTAATTTTAATAAAAAAACTAAAACCTAATTCTTTTGTGATTTTTTTATGATAAAAAAATAAAAATGGTTTTTGAAAAGAAAATGAATATAAAATTAAAAAAACTAAAAAAAGTAAAAATTAAAAAAAGACATGGGCCTGGGATCACTCCTGGATCTTGAGATTCAAAGGAAACTACAGATCATGCTCTAGCAATGACACGATCTCATTCTGGTCCTTAAGCTTACATATTACACGTTAAACATGTACTATGAACAATCCTGAACACGAATCAAATAATGAAAAGCGTTAACAGGACATGAAAATGCAATTTTGATTTCAAGAAAACCTTACCAACCGGTGATGCATGGATCTGGTGATCTAGGATGTTGCAAGCCTTGGGAATGGGTAGAATAAGTTCCTAGGAATTTCAGGAATACGACTGAGCAGTTGGCATGGGTGGATGATGGCTGAAAAACTCTATTTCGAATTTCACAACTTTTATGATTTTTTGCAATTTTGTGGAGCTTTGGCAAGGCAATGTATTTTCGCCCCCTTTTGCTCATGTTTTGGTCTTATATTTATAGAGGAAGAAGAGGGCTGGCTAGCAAAGATGGTAAGAATCCACCCATAATGGCCCTCTTTCAAACCAAAATCAAACACATTAAAAAAGTTCCAAAAATGCAAATTCTTGCCCATTTTGAGGTGAAATTCACCTGGCCTCCTTTGCACGAAATTTTGGGCCCAAAAACAATTCAAACCCTCATTCCATATTGCCATAACCAATATTTACTATTTTATGCAATTTTATTTAGTTTTTATTTGAATAAAACAAAATAAATATGGATAAAATAAGTATAATGGCAAGTCAATGTAAAAATTATTAGAGGTCTCTCATAAGATTAGAAAGATGTTTGAAGTCCAAGAAGTTAGGTCATTGACCTAAAAGTTCAAGTTTTCCCAATGCACAATTTTTGAAATTTCCCAAATTTTCCCAACTTAGGAAAACTATAACTTGCTCATTTTTTATCAAATGATGATGAGCTAGGACTTTTTGGAAAGCCCAAGATGTCTACTTAAATCCATCTTTTTATCAATTTTGTATTTGAAGATTTTATCTTAATGTAAAAGGTCTTGGAAAAAAATGTCTTCTGTTGACTTTCTGAAAATGACTTGTATTATATGAGCTTGTATCTTTCAAATGGTGCATTTATTGAACTTGAGGAGAAAAGGGAAGTTTAAGGGAATTAAATTCTCTTCAAAATGAGTTTTAGTTGGGGAAAAATAGATGAAGTATGTGAAAGTTATGCCTAATCAAAGTTCAGTTGACGTTTCCTATAGAAACCCTAATTTTATAATTCTTGACTTTTGATGAATTAGGAGTATTTCTTGAGGAATCATGATAAACCCTTGATCAAATGATGATTATCACTTCAAAATGTTGATGTTGACAAAAAATTGAAGTTTGACTGTATATTGGCCACAGTTGACATTTGACTTAGTATAGTTGATTTTCAAGCATTTGAGCAGTTGACTGAACAAACTTGTAGTGTAAGGCATGGTATTTGACATGGACAATCTTGAAGACATATTAGGGACCTTAGAAATCATTTGAGGTCTTTGCAACCCAAAATTCTTGGTGAAAAGTGAAACCCTAGTTGGAGGTTCATTGCTTAGGAGAAGAATTTGTCTGATCAATTCTTGGTCAACCTTGAGCAATTGAAGACCTCAATGAGCATGTCTTGAGTAAAATGGAAGGGAAAATTTTGGGGTACAACAACATTGTTTACCCAAAATATTTCATTTTTTTACACAGGAAAAAAACTAATTGTCCATGAAGATCAAATACTATGTTAGGTAAATTAATTTCCCAAAGATCTAAATTTCAGATCTTCAAATCATTTAATTTTAGGATAGATCAAATATTGGGTGCAAGGAGATCTTCAATTGTTACATTGAAGACCTAGATTTTAGCTCTTCAAATCATATAAAGTGTGGATCAAATGTTGTGTGCAAGGAGATCTTCAATCGCTTTTGCACTCATTTATTTCTGATATGAACAAAAAAAGGGTTAGATAAATAAATAATCTTTTGCTCAAATAAATATTTAAGAACACAACCTTAAATCCAAATAATTTCTGCTCTTGCAATCCATCATAGAGAACTCTTCATGACAAACACTCCTGCAAACCTAAAACTCTTCATGACGTTACAATGCTTGAGAGCCACAAGTCTTGATATTCAGTATGTTTTTATAGTGGAGGTTTTTTATGTTTCACGCGTATCACTAATGGTAATGTCTTGAGCGTTGATAGTCATGAAATGGACGGCGAAGATTTGATTAAGAATTTGTTAAATGTATCAATTTTAACGCTAAATTTTATGGTGTTTTTTTAGGAAAACCAAAGTGTTATAACATTTTAACTTAAAAAAAAAATACAATTAAATAGAGATTCCAATTTTAACGCTATATTTAACGCTATATTTAACGCTAGAGTTTCCCTCGGTTTTGCAAGAAAACTGACGGGTTAGAATATTTAATTTACAATTAAAAAATACAAGTAACATGGAATTTAGAACAACATGGTGGCGCTCATGCATTAGAAATGTCTCTTTTAGGTTATCACTAGAATAGCAATGATCATCTTATTTTAAATTCGTAACGTCTCTTTTAGATTATCAAAGAGACTTTTGAGCTATTGAAATGTCTAATTACCAACTCATTGATTCAAATTCTTTTTCTATTTTCAACTTCTCATTACCAACTCTTTGTTTCCTTGTTACGAATTATCAAAAATGGATGCAAATCTATTGTTTGTTATCAAAGAAAAGTATGTTAACTTCAATAATTTTGAAGGTTTAGAAAAAACATTGAGGGGAAGTTGTTAACAAATAAAAGTTTAGTGGTTACTTTAACATTCTACATGGCCCCATATACACTAACCTTGTTAAAGAATTCAGGATGAATGTGTCTATTGTGCCAGCTGGTTATAAATAAATCATCCAGTCATATGTCAATGGCGATCATTTTTTCATTAGTCCATCACTGATTGCTTTGACAATCAACTGTGAAGAGTTTGGTAGTTGTGTTGAACATTATGAATCCAACCATGTCTATGCAAACCACCTTTACCTACTTTATGCCAACAAAAACAATCTCGCTAGTCCTGCTTCTCTACGCTTTATTCCAAAATTTTGGTTTCAACTTCTAGTGTCAAATCTCCGCTCAAGAGAGAAAGACATGGAAACGCTTACTTGATATGACAAGCATCTCTTGTTATTCCTCACCTCCAACATGAGAGTTAATCTTCCTCTTATCATTTTCAGCTTCTTGAAGAAAATAATAGAGACTTCTCGTGAGAAAAAGACTTTCCTCATACCTTATGAAAGAGTTCTTTCTGAACTTTTCAATAAGTTAGGGATGGTTAGGGGTGATAGTATAGTTGAGTAGACTGTGAAGTTTGAATTTGTTGAATAGTTTTATTTGTTTGTGTTGTCGTAGTTGCTTTGGTGATGTTGTAGTTCCTATAGTTCCTATTTGTCGTAGTTGCTTCGGTGAATAGGGGGTTGTCCTGCAAAGTTAGCACTTCAATGTCCAAATCTATAAGAAATTGAGTACTCTAGTGAAAATGAGAAATGAAATTTATACTTGAGAAATGACGCGCTAATCCCTTTAAATAAAAGAGTTAGTTAGCAACTGAATGTAAATGTGAGCATAGGATACGCGTAACTGTCAAATAGATCTAGACGATAAGGATGATTTTTATGAATAAGTTGATCTTAGTGATATGAGACACATAATCCATTCACCTTGTTTTGCATTATTCCAGTATCGGACCTTTGAGCCTTTCAGTCGGCTCAATATAATATGAAAGAAATAAGTGTACCATAGTTTTATGTGACTTAGCTATTTTATCCAAAATGTGACCCAGACTTCCCATTCCCCATATTTGGGATATATGACTATTCTAAAATCATAATTACAAAGTGTGCATAAACAACACGTGACATATATCCAAGATAATTATAATTATAAATTGTATTTATCTTGTTTAGACAAGGAAAATGTACTAAGATGATGATGATGAATTGAAACTTGAAAGGATTATTGATATGTATATTTCTTGTTTTTGTACTAAAATGTATATCTCAGTTTTCTCACTTACTTCATATACTCTCTTTCCTTTATTTGGTCTAATACTGCATTTTCTGGAAACTCTTGCATCACCTATGACAGAGTTTCTGCAACTCCACTTAGTAACTATGATACTATAGAGTCTCATTTATGTGAAAAATTCAATGAAATGTGAGAAACATCATCCCTGAATCCCTTGTCCAAAGAGTTTGTTTTGTTTCACACTTTTTTCTTCAATATCTATATCACTCTTTCTTGCAATATGCCATGTGAAAGGTGTCAGGATAATGTAGGTAAGGCGAAGAAAATAAGCACTACTTAAGCCTAATTTGTACATACTTCTGTGGTGCCAAACAAGGTTTTAAATCAAAGAAACTCTCTAAACATAAAACTGCAAAGACTCTTTTTGTAGTATCAAACAAAGAGTATTATAGTTATGTTAAGACAAACATAACAAACAAGAACCTTGAAATTTAAATTACTTAATACCAAACTCTAAACATAAAACTGCAAAGGCTAAACTCTAAACAACATAATCATAAAACTCAGCAATATTTGAAACATGATCCATAGTATGGCTAGGAATCTTATCAAGTTTAATAGGATTGTTCTTCCCTCCAACCAATTTCGCCGGATTCCCAACGACAGTAGTCCTCGGAGGCACATCCTTAATCACAACAGAACCAGCCCCAATTTTTGCACCTTCACCAACTTTAATGTTCCCCAAAATACAAGTTCCAGCACCAATCAACACTCCATCACCAATCTTCGGATGCCTATCGCCATGAGCCTTACCGGTTCCTCCCAACGTCACGCTATGCAAAATGGACACATCATTTCCAATCACAGCTGTTTCTCCCACCACAATCCCCGTCGCGTGATCAAACAATATTCCACTCCCGAACTTAGCTCCCGGATGAATATCAACTCCGAAAACTTCACAAACTCGATTCTGAATTATAACAGCCAAAACCTTCCTTCCATTTGACCATAAACTATGAGCTATTCTATGAGCTTGACATGCTAAAAAGCCTTTGAAATTCAAGAAACAATGGACATGAGTTATACAAGCAGGATCTCTTTCCTTAACTGCTTTCATATCATTCTTAACAGCATCCATAATTTCTTTATCAGATTCCAAAACCCCGACAAATAAATCAGAAAGAGTTGTACTAGGAAGACTTACACTGCTTAATTTAACAGCTAAGTAATTAGCCAAAGCACTTTCCAACGATTTATGAGACAGAATTGAAACATGATAGTAACCCGACAAAATAGGTTCAACAGTGACATCAACTTTAGCTTCTTCTTTCATCTTCTTCCACATGCAATCTTCAACCTCTTCTTTTTCAGATTGTTCCACAACTGAACTAGTATGCAAGGTGTTGATTCCATATTTGAAGTTGAAACTTGGTGTGAAGATTTTTTGTCCATCATGATGAGGTGAAAGATTCTTTGAATTTGCTTCAACAGAGATTACTTGGTGAGGTTGAGATTTGTGGTGAGTAAGAGAAAGAAGAGACCATTTTTTTGGTGTTGGATTGAGAAAGAAATTGAGGAATCTTCCTCTCATCATAGTAGCTTTGTTTGATTGAAGATCTAGAAAATTTGTTAATGGTTAGCACTGAGCAGAAAAACATCTTAGTCATATATATTTAATTTTATTATATAGTATTAGTTTAATAATAATAAAGTGAGACCCTAGGTCGAATCAAACACCAATCCCCTTTTTTTTATTGAGCCTAGCACAATGCACATTATTTATTTTAAAATGATTTTACTAATTATTTTTGTTATCAAGACTCTTTTCTTTCCATCAATATCACTCCATTATATATATATATATATATATATATATATATATATATATATATATATATATATATATATATATATATATATATATATATATATATATATATATATATATATATATATATATATATATATATATATATATATATATAACCGATGACATCATTTCAATTTCCATAATTGAATTTAATATTCATTGGCCATCTCAATATGTACTCTAGAGAGTAGATACTATATTTTTATATTTTTATATTAAATGTTCAATAATATTTATTTCCATAAAAATTAACTTAAATTTTTAATTTATTTCTTATATAATAAAAATATCTTTTAATCAGATATAAGATCGTAAATTCAAACTCACGAAGGATGAACTCCAATCACTATTACAAAAAAAAATTATTTTTTAAATTTTAAAAAATTATTTTTTAAATTTTAAAAAATTATTTCATTAACCAACTTAACTAAACGGAAGAAAAACAATATTATTTTAAAGGTTAAATGCATTTTATCCTTGCAATAGTAACGAATTTTAATTTATTTCTGTTTTGAAAAAAAAAATTCGTTCTTTAATAAATATAGATTCTAAAACAAAAAAAAAACTTGAGACTGTTTGTTGACTGGGTAGTTATATGTTACCTTGGCTTTTTTTTAAATATTTTTAAATATTTTATTCAATTGTATAAAATCTTTACATTGTTGGAGAAAATGCATCAGGTGGATTTCGAACCCTGCACCATCGACTTACAAGTCATACACTCAACCACTGCACTTGTCTATCAGTTTATATATTTCTCGCTTCATATTTAATTTGTATATTTAGATGGTAACCCAAAAAGAAAAGTTTGGATTTGAGACATGACCCTCTAGGTGAGAGGTTGCAACACTACAAACATGGGAGCAACCACAAAATTTTGTGCATCAGAAGTGTATATGAAATACATCCAATAATATATACTACTGCAGGGAAATGAGCCATTTGAAAACTGCAGCTACACAGAAAATTAAAAAGCCACATAACTTGGACATGCTGTGAGAGGTTGTTGACCGATTTTCAAAGTGATGAACCAAAACCTACCTATGACAGTGAGAGATTGACCAATCTTCTGAATACACATTTTTCTTTCGCAATGAGATCAATAATCTTTCTCCACAGCAAAGAGAATTGATTGTTTCCACACTGTCTAATATGAATACTGATTGTTTCATTTAAAGATGGCATATTATTGCAGCACTCACGAGAGGGAGCTTTTATCTGCGACGAAACCCAAAAAGAATGCAATAGATAGACATGGGAAACCAAAAAAGAATTACAAATTTTAGTTAAATAGTAATTTGCAACAGTGACTTAGCAATACCTCTTCAATACTACGATCCAACTTTCTTGAATAAATGATGATCTCATTCGGCAGGTTAGGATTTGATTTAGGGCACTTCTTTTCTACATGTCTAGTATAATTGCTCTGAATGCCCCTTTTATCAGATGCAACACTTTTCAAGAAGAATATAAAAGGCCTTTTACAAGGATCTTTAGAATAGTCTTTAGTGTCGAGCATGAAACTAAAATGAATCTTCCTTCATGGCGCAAATGTTTTTTTTACGGCAAGGAGTTCAGGTAGAAGTACATTTCCTTGATAAATTTGGATAGCAAAACCCTAAGAAATTGATAAACTTGGATAGCGAAACCCCGGATAGAAGTACATTTTCTTTTTGGGTTACCATGTAAATATACAAATTAAATATGAAGCGAGAAATATACAAACGGATATACATGGTGCAATGGTTGAGTGTATGGCTTACAAGTAGAGGATGTAGGGTTTGAAATCTACCTAATGTTTTTTCTCCAACAGTGCAAAGATTTTATACAATTAAATAAAAATCAAAACTCGCTACTATGCAGAAGTAAATTGCATTTAACCTTTATTTTAATATTTAAGAATATTATATTTATTAAAAGATTAAAAATATAAACTCCATAATATTAATGAGATTTATTTTTAGTTTTTAATAAATAAAAAATTGTAATCTTTCCCCCTTCTAATATCTAGATTTTGTCAAAAAGATTTTTTTCTAATTGCCAACATAATGTTTTTTAATTTTTAATTTTCTTTTTAAATTTACGTGGGATTTTTTAAGTTTTTTTTTCATTAATTTTTTTAACATAATTTTTATTATTTTTTGCAATTTTAATATTTAGTATTAATTTGTTGCAATTTTAATATTTTCGAATGCTGTGTGGTATATAAAGATCAAATGTTTACCTAAAAAAGTCAATGTGGGACTATAATATTATCTCGAACACTCTCCGAATCCAGTCCTTCTGCTTTGAAGTCTTCTCACTAACAAACCAGACACCACGAACTTCATCTCACTACCAATTTGTATGTCACCTCACTACCAAACCAAACACCACCACCTTCAACGTTAAATCGCTCCACCATCAACCACCCTTCATCATCAAACTGTAAACCTCACAAACAAAACCGTAACCCCCCATATATTCCAACTTCAACCAACTTAAACAACAATTAGTTGCCCATACTTACACCATATATTATCATCATCATGTGATGGAATAATAACAGTATTTTGATACAGACCATTGAAGTTCTATCTTCTGTATCATCGCCTGAACTGGCCCTGAGACTGTATCTGCACTGTGCTAAGGTATGTTGAGGAAATCATGCAGCAGTTACTCTCCAATGGCTATTGTTTCCACTTTTATCAATAATTTCTATTTCATAGCTTTGATTTTATTTCATGTACAATCTTTATCAACATATTATTATCTATAATTTATGATCCATTCCCCACCGAAAAGTGCCTATTATTGTAGTAGCCGCTAGTTTAAAACTAAACATGAAAATATAAAAATTCAACCCAAGATTGGTAGCAAATGATCGAAAGCCAAAATTCAGTATAGAGAAAAACTAACTTGCAGTAGTTTATGCAAAAAAAGAAGTAAAGCTTTTCTCCAACTGAAAGAGTTTATATAACTCTTTTACACTTTATATTTTAAAAAATGAAGTAAAAAGCTACAAGAAAATACAATTAATAAAACGGTAAAAACAAATTAATAATAAAAAAGTATATAAAAAAAAAAAGAAGATTAAAAAATTAAGTAAAAAATTAAAAAATTTCACGTGACTAAAAAAATAAATAAAAAATTCCATGTAGATTAAAAAAATAATAAAATTTTAAAAAGAATACCATGTTAACTTTTTTAATCTCTCACAATTTTCGATTCTGTGTTTAAATATTTATGCACTATTAAAAGAAAAGAAATCAATCTATATATATTATTTATATAAATATTGATTTCTTTTTCTAAAGTCTTATATAATTGTAAAACTGTTTGGTATACCTCTTCCTCTAATTTTCTTCTACTGACTTTTTCTGATTTTTTTTCTTCTGAACTGGTTTATAAACTGATATATCTTGAACGAGACACATTGGATTTGCATAGTTAAATCGCACTAGTTGTGTACCACTGCTTGTGTCTTATTCGAATGACATTTAACCGCACTTGAACAAGGTTTATGTATTGCTGCGAATTGGTTTCAAATTTTTGTTGTGCAAAACTGTTTGGTGAAGTAATTTCTAAGCTGACTTTTATATATGGTGCAGGGCTAAACTGGTTTTGTGCCGGATTTTACAACGTGAGGATTGGCATTGGGAGTGATGGAGGTTAAAGCCTGAAGCTTAATAGCATTAGGATTAGGATTAGAACATGGTTTATGAAATTCTCATGTACCTTTTTCTTTTGTATTTTGTAATAAAAGTCATTGGTATTTGAGATAAAATCAAAAGTTTTAGACTTGGATGAGAAGTTAAATATTGTTTGAAAATGAATAAGGTCGAAACTTGAATAGAATCTTAAATGATGTGGTGAACATGTCTTTGATTTGAACTTGGATAACTTGAAATGATTTTTGCAATAGACACTTTGATTATTGAATCAAGATTTATGCTTTAACTTCATAACTTGAACTCAAGAACCTAGACATGAATTAGACTTGTAACAAGTCTTGAGTGAAATGATTTTTGTTGATTCTTAAATGACATTCATGTAATAGTTCTTGCAATATGATTTGAACATCTTGAATTTAATGACAATTTCTTCAAGTATTAAGAATGTTCACTTTCTTCTGAATTTAAAACTTGAATCAACTTTTGATATTATGTCCAAAACATACATTCTTGTATAATTTGACCTCGAGGCATCAAGTAGTCAACTCAAATTTATCAATATCCAAAGAAAACCTTTCTTCAATCCAATCTTCCAATCGACCCTAAACTTACACGATGAGTAAAAAGTACTTGAAAGAATGACAATGAATCCACAAATCATATCTTGTACTATGGCTTACCCTCTTAGTAATTCATACTAAAAAAAGTCCTTGACTTGAAAACCAATGACCTCAACGCAAAATTAACCCCCTTGAGAAAAAAATTTGGTGAAGAAAATGATATTGACATGATAAGAGGACCAAAACCTTGTAGCTTGAGGAGAATAAAATCTTAATAATTATGAATTAAAATACTAGTTCCATATTTCACTGCTTGAAGAAGAAACAAAAGGATCAGGTTTTATTGATATGTATCTCAAAATATTGTGAAACCCTGATATTATACAACCACTGGACTTTGAACCAAAATGTTATATGAATGCATGTATGTTATGCTAATGAAATGCAAAACATAAGTCATATAAAGTAAAGTTAAGAGGACAAATTTTAGGGGTCAACAATAAACATAATT